GGGGTGACGGGGTGGGGTGGGGGTGGGGGTGGGGGTGCTCGTTATATCTTCGACTTCGACGTTGTTATGTAGTCTAGGATTTCGGATCGATGGTTGTACAGGAAAGGAGAAAGTGTTGGAAGATTTGTTTATGGGTTTTGGGTTCGTGCTTCATATCGTAGACGACGTAAGAATATATCAACAGCGCTCGTATGTTTGTAAATGTATATATATACAGTATGTGTGCGTATGTTTTTATGTTTATAATATAATATATATATTATATATATATATATATATTTATTACATATGTATATATATATATATTTGTTTATTTATTTATTTATGTATTATATATTATATATTTTGTATATACTGATTCATTTCCATACACATTATAAATGAAAAAAAAAATATTTGTGTGTGTGTATGTATGTATGTATGTATGTATGTATTTGTGTAGATTATATATATTATATATATATATATATATATATATATATATATATATATATATATATATATATATATATGTGTGTGTGTGTGTGTGTGTGTGTGTGTGTGTGTGTGTGTGTGTGTGTATGTGTGTGTGTGTGTGTGTGTGTGTGTGTGTGTGTGTGTGTGTGTGTGTGTGTGTGTGTGTGTGTGTGTGTGTAGTATGTATATGTATGTATATTATTATATGTATGTATAATATGTATATATATTATGTATGCATTTATATATATATATATATATATATATATATATTATATATATGTATATATATATATTTATGTATATATATACGTTATATATATTATATATATAATATATATAAATGTGTAAGTGTGTGTGTGTGAGAGAGAGAGAGAGATGATGTAAAGGAGAAGGCTGACTGGGACAAAAATGCAGTTAAGGGCATGCCTGTACGTGCGCCATCCGGGGAATGTTGGTCCATTAAAGGAGAGAAGGCGACTCCTTTTTCCCGGATTAATTAAAGCGGAGATCTTGGAGGCCGCGACCTACTGCCCGAGACGCTGGCCCGGGCCGGCTCGGAGCGGGGGGGGGAGGAGGGGAGGGGGCGGCATGGGTGTTGCCTGGCTCCACCTCGTCAAGCTGTGTGGTGCTTTTCTCTCTCTCTCTCTCTCTCTTCTCTCTCTCTCTCTCTCTCTCTCTCTCTCTCCTCTCCTCTCTCTCTCCTCTCTCTCCTCTCTCTCTCTCTTCTCTTTCTTTCTCTCCTCTTATTTCTTTCTTTCTTTCTCTCTTCTCTTTCTTCTCTCTCTTCTCTTTCTCTCTCTCCTTCTCTTTCTCTCTCCTACTTTTTCCTTCGATTTCTCTCACTTCTACTCTTTTGCCTTTTCCACTCTTTCCTTTTTTCTCTCTTCGTCTCTTTCCTTCTCTTTTCCTGTCTTTCCATCTCTGTATATATTTACTTTCTTTACTTCTCTCTCTCTCTCTCTTACTACTCTTTTCTTTCCTTCTTTCTCTTCAACTCTTTCCTTCTCTCTCTTTCTCTCTTCCTGTCTTTCCGTCTCTCTCTCTTTTCCTCCTTCTTTCCTTGTCTCTCCCCTTCCTTTCTTTCCATCTCTCTTTCTCTCTCTCCCTCCTTCCTTTCTTTCCATCTCTCTCTCTTTCCTCACTTTCCTTTCTCTCTCCCCTCCCCCCCTTCATTCTTCTCCCTCGTTTTAATATTCACGTATCCAATAACTTCTATTTTAATACCCCGTTTGCTTTAGCCTTTGGAGAATTTTAATTGCCAGACTTCCCTGTTTATGGCAGATTATTCTGTCGGGGACGTTCAGCGCCATTTTTATCGTGGCAATAAAGCTTTCAGGTTGACTCAAGTGCGTGATCGCAGAGACAGGGACGAACGCAATATATTTGGCGGAGGATATTCCCGTGTTTGGCTTGCATGTTGACGCATTTCTGCCAAGGCGCGCGAGGGGGCAAGACAGGGCCGGGGTCTCGTTCGCCTGTTCCCCATTAAGGTTCAAAGTCGCGCTGGTCTTTGATGGTATCTTCGCCCGTTTTGGGTTGATCTGGTCATTAAGGAGAGATGGATCAGCACCCGAGACGCTCCATTGAATGCGTGTTATTCTCGCTTCGTCGTTCAGTCTCTTTCTTTCTACTTTTTTTTCGTTCCTTTTTTTCTTTTTTAACCCCCGTCTCGCAGTGTTTATGAGGTCTGTGTGTCTGTTTGTTTGTCTGTGGGTCTGTATTATCAGGGTCCTTGCAGGCTAAGCACTGTGTATATACTTTATTTGCTTTTTATTTACGGAACTTGGATGTTATTTGTATCGATTCCTCCCCTCCCTCGCTGCTTACTTAAGAACAGATACATGGAAAAGGCGGTGATATACGCGTACAAATAGATCAAGAGGGGGGGGGGAGGTTTATTTAAGAGCTGAAACATAGAAATAGAAACTGATGGTTTAAGTATGCAAATAGATTAGGAGGGAGAGAGAGCGAGAGCGAGTGAGTGAGTGAGTGAGTGAGTGAGTGAGTGAGTGAGCGAGCGAGTGAATGAGTTAGTGAGTGA